GCTGTCCACCCCTACAGCAGCATATCAATCTTTCATAATCGGTCATGTAATCATTTTTTTACATTCTCACTTTTAATAACCGTTAGATCTAAATGTAATGGCTAAGATTACTGTTGTCGAGGTAGTATGGCTGTAGAGGATTCATGCGCTGGTTTTGGTGGAAACATTTGGTTTGTTGGGAAAACTGTTCTTTTACTACCTGTTCAAGATACCGTGGGCCCAAACTAAAGCTTTATTTATTTTTCTTGCTTATTCATCCTCCTCTCTGTCTACCCATAATAATGAAGGGAGTTTTTGCTACATTTATATTTTAAAAATAATAATTTTCATTTTTTAGATCCACACTTATATAGAATAAACAGGGATCTTTTATTTATTTTATTTTCTTTTTTAAGCTTATATAAATGCTTTATGATTTTTTGAAGTTTTATCTAAAAATCATTTTGAAGTTTGAAATATTTGATCAAAATAGTAAATTAAAGTGAGTTCAACAATGAAGTTAACTCAAATTAATCGGATAAACAAAGAATTGCCTTTTGTTCCCTGGGTTTAAATTTATGTGCTAATCTTCATATAATCTTGAAAGTTGAAATAAACTAAAGAGGAAATTGGCAAAAAAAAAAGGGTTAAACCCTCGGTTGGTCCTTGTATTTATATGGAAATCTCAAATGGATCATCGTTTTTTTTCCGGTCTCAATTGGGTCATATTTTTTGTAAAAATGAGCAAATTTTACCCTAATCGTTAAGTTGTTCCAAATGGCGTTAAATTAGGTTGAGCTGTATTTTTGCTTTGATGACGTGGCATTATGCATTTAATTGAATTTAATTAAATGGGTGATGTGTTTTAAAATCATCAGATCTCCGTGGTTACAGTGCTTCCTCCAATCACTTATCGCCTTTCATCTTTTTCGCTCCTCCGCCCAAGTTGTTTTCTTCTCACTCCCACCCTCTAACCCTCACTCCCCAGACACAATCTTTCTCCCTCTCCGTCATGTGAGAACAGAAACCCCAATCTGGAACAGAAACGCCGTTGTTCGGACAAGGATTCCTCCAAGAGACTCCTCCCGTGGACGCACAAGGATTCCGCCGCCATCGCCGATGTCTGGCCTTCTACTTCCGCCTTCGATGTTGGTCGGGGATGCTCTAGGCTGTCAACTGATGTAGTTTCTATGATGTATCTGTCTTTCGTCCGAATGTAATCCTCTTATCCGTGGCAGCTGGAGCAACCCTTAAAACGAAGAAGATGCCTCCCAGGCGCCGTGCACTCTTCTACTCAATCCATGCTTTTCTCCAAAAATAATGAAAACACTCGTGAAGCCCCCCAGTGGCGGCTGACCCTTCTCTTTTCATTACCCCTTTCTTTCCCCAATCCTTGCTGGACTGCTCACTCATCACCTCGTCTGTGTGCTCTTCATAAATGGAGAAATGAATTGTTTTTTTTTCCTGGCGTCTGCTGCGTGCTTGTTTTTTTTCCAGCCAAAAGCCCCTTTTTTTTTTCTTTTTGACGCTAACCCCCTCCTTTCTGCGCTGCCTTGGACCAAGACTATGACCACTTGTTGTCTGCGTGGGTTGACGCTGCTATTGGGTGGTGCGTTAAGATAGTGGTGTCACCTCAAGTTTAGTCCAAGCACCTCAGTGAGGGTTGAAGGTAGAGGGGGAACGAAGCCAACTTGGGCAGAGGAGCGGAAGAGGTGAAGGTGATAAGTGGTGGAGGAAGAAGAAGCACTGTAGCCACGAAGAATTTGATGATTTTAAAACACATCACCCATTCAATTAAATTCAATTAAATGCATAATGTCACGCCATCAATTAAGAAATACAAAGCTCAACCTAATTTAACGCCGTTTGGAACCACTTAACGTTAGGGTAAATTTGCTCATTTTTCAACCCAAAATATATACCCCAATTGAGACCCGAAAAAAAAAACGATGACTCATTTAGATTTCCATATAAATACGAGGACCAACCGAGGGTTTAAAAGCTATAGGACTCTGTTGAATTAAAGAAAGCAAAAATAAATAAACTGAAACTTATAGAATAAAAAAATATAATTTTTCCTAAACAAAATGGATTTGATTTCCAAAAAATAAGAAAATGAGCAAATAACATGTAGAAGAGTGGCACCATCAATATTTGATCCTCGATGATAGAAAGAGAGAAAGATGATAAGTGATGAAAAAGAGAAGGTTGATAAGGTTGTGGTTGGCAGGAATGAAGAGTGTGGGAGCATACGAGGAGCATGCGAAGAAAGAGCACGTGTGTGGGCGTCCACTTGGGTTGTGCTTTAGCATGGTATCCAATGAACTTTATATTGCAGATGCTTACACGGTTATTGTTGTTGGCCCCCATGGTGGCACTCCATCAAGACCCCCCCCTTCCCCAAAAAAAAATATCACTTTAGATGTACAAGAACAAAAAGAACCCTTGGCTTTCACAAATGGTTTGGATGTTGATCAACGAACTGGTGCAGTCTACTTCACCACCAGTAGTTCTAAATATCAAAGGAGGTATTCTCACAAACATTAACATTCATCCAATCATATTTTCCCTTGAAGAAGATTTAATAATATTTCTGGAATGCAGGAATTACATCTCTTTGATCTTGAGCAGAGATAAATCGGGGAGGCTGATGAAATACGAGCCAGAAACTGAACAACTTAGCATTGTTCTAAACAATCTCTCATTTGCAAACGGTGTAGCATTAAGCAAAGATGGTGATTACTTCTAATATGAGAGACACAACATGCAGAGTATTTAAGGTATTGGCGAGAAAACTCCTCCAAAAAGCTGGAACATGGAAGTGTTTTTGCGAAGTTACCATGTTTCCCAGACAACATAAAACTAAGTCCCAGAGGGGGGTTTTGGGTGTGAATTTTACTCAAGAAGAGAGAAATTTATCGAATGGATTCTATCATATCCATGGATTGGAAAAGTTTTGCTTTCACTTCCTTTGGACGTTACAAAAGCTTATTCATATTTGGCTAAGTTAAAAAGAAGCAGTGGAATGGCAATTAGGCTAAGTGAGGATGGAGATATATTAGAAGTTGTTGAAGACAAAAAATGGAACAAAGGAAGGTCTATTAGTGAAGTGGAGGAAAGAGATGGAATATTATGGGTTGGATCCATTGATGCACCTTTTGTTTCTAAATATAATATTCCTGTGTCAAAACAAAACAACTGGTAAAAGAAATTTGAAGATATACTTGTATTGTTTTCCACTGTGATGTTGTTTTAGATTTCTAATTTGGAATATCAATATGTCAACCCTTGCACAAAACTCCACACTCTTGTCTTAGTGGAACTACCTATATTTTTTTGGTCATTTACAAAGTTTGGTGGCCCCTACCATGTCTAATGATGTGGTTGTGCAAATTCCTCAATAAGATACGTTTTTTTTTTTACGTAACTAGTAGGAGAAAAATTACGCATATAGGCAAATTCGAAAATTATTACCCTTATGGGTAAATTGTGTTTACTGAGAACGCTTCCTACACACGGTTTCAGCTGGTTTTGAAATGTTCAAGGAAATCGTGCCATCTACTCATTTACGTAATTTTTCTAAATAAGTACCCCAATTTCGTAGGAAAACCGTAAAACTATAATATCTAACAACAACGTGAATGAACTATTTATTTCTCAATATGATAATATTGATTAACTTAGTAATCCTTTTAAAACCTCTTAAAACATTCTATAAACTTCTATGTTGTATTTCAGTCTAAATTTATAATACATAATACATTCTTTACAATCAAAGCAAAAGAAAAATTTACGGAAAACTATAAACTTCTTATTTGTTGTTAGCAAAGAAAATATATGTGTTTAATTGATGATGATTTTGATGAAAATCAATTATCTTCTTTTCGTCATTCATTATCTAAGTTTGATTAAAAACTGAAAAATATTAATCAATTTTTAAGATAATTTTGAACGTATTCACTTTAAAAAACTAGTTTTATACTGTTTCTCATCATAATACGTTATTAACTATATAATCAACTATGTTAAAAAAAATAAATTGTGTTAGTCAAAATTATTTTTTACAAAAAATAAATGATTATTTAAGGTAATAATCAATTATACATTTATAAAAAAAATTCAATTCCTAAGAAATCCATTATGTTTAATAATAATATAATATGTTGATTGAAAATTATTTCTAGATAATTAATGGTGAGAAAATATTATACTATAAAAACAATTAGGATAAATATTTTCATATGACTAAAATGATTTTTATCAATAAAATTTAAATAAATAAATTAACCTAAAATTTAAAAGAGTAAAAAAATATCAATATATAATGGTAAAAAAAATTTATATAGTATAAAAAAAAGAAATTTATGATAAATATTTTTCTATAATTAAAATTACTTTTACAAATAAAACTTAAATGAATTAATTGATTAGTTAGCAGAAGAATTAAAAGAATAATAAAATATTAATAATTATTTGTGAAATAATCTTATACTATAGAAATAAAATTTGAAATAAATGTTTTCGAATAATTAAAGTTATTTTTGTCAATAAACCAAAAATAATGAATTAATTAATTATTAAAAAAAATTAAAAGAGTAATAGAATATCAATAATTAATGTTGAGAAAATATCATACCATGGAAAGAGAAATCTGAAATAAATGTTTTTCTATACATTAAAATTATTTTTATTAATAAAATTTAAATAAATAAATTAATTAACTAACCCAAAAATTAAATGAGTAAAAAAATTATCAATAATTAATAATAAAAAATAATATAGTTTAAAAAAAAATTTATGATAAATATTTTCCTTTAGTTAAAATTAATTTTATAAATAAAATTTAAATTAATTAATTAGTTAATTAACTTAAAAATAAAAATTTTAATAAAATATCAATAATTAATAATTAAGAATGCATAATTAAAATTATTAATCTAATTTTTAATAATAAATATTTTAAGATTTTTATCAATGAATTTTAAAATTTTAAATATAAATAAATTTTATCAAAATTGGTGAGTGAATTATTGATAAATTTTTTCATTTGATAATTTTTTTCGGTAAAGAAAATTAAATTTTAAAATTAATTAATAAATTTATTTGATAATTCAAATTTATTAACAAATTTATTTCTTTCGATAAAATTTTATCCAAAAAGTTTTATAGAATTGTGTGATCTATTTGTTCTTTAAAATTTTTAACTAATAAATATATTCATTTTTGTTAAGAAAAATAACATTTAGTTAATAAACATCAGGGTAAAAAAAAATTCGATAAAGAAATATAATAATTAATATATTTAAAATTATTCAGATTTTTATAACTAAGACAAAAAAAAAATTACCTGTATGTCTTATACATAACACAACAGGTGGTATTATTATCTGTTTTTTCAATAAAACTCCGCTCTATCATCACATAATTTAAAAAAAAAAAAAACAAAAAATCTCCGTAATAAAAAATTACAAAAATTCTAATTAAACCTCACTTTCTACTTTTTAGAAGTCCATTAGTAGAAACTTTGTTTTAATTTATCAGAGTAACTAAGTAATGATAAAGCGTTTACTAACAGACTTTTCCGGGTGAAGTCAAAGTATTGGCATGTCCAACTATTCCTGATATCTTCTCTTTGGAACAAGTATGTTAAGTGAAGCTAAAAGAATTAAGATTTAAGGCAGAAGAAAAGAAATAATTGAACAAGAGTTGCAACAACCATGTCAGAATCAAACGCAATTGCAAATGGATTGGCTGGTGCAGGTGGTGGAATCATTGCTCAAATCATCACTTATCCTCTTCAAACGGTACTCTCTCTTTCTCTATATGCTTCTCTCTTTGGCCTTGCGACCAACTCCCTTGAAAATTTTCAGGTAAACACGCGTCAGCAAACTGAGAGAACACTCAAGAGGAACAAGCAAAGTTTGCCCTCTAACACAACCACTGCTCCTGGCACTCTTCTTCAGATCTTTCAGGTTCAAATTTTTCTCTTTTTTCTCATTTGATTGCTTTATTTTATGATGGTATATTCATTATATTTGTGACCCTTTTTCAGGTCATTAGAACTGAGGGTTGGGGTGGACTCTACAGTGGCCTCAAGCCTTCTCTTCTTGGAACTGCTGCTTCTCAGGTTCTCAGTTTTCGACCATACCCCACATGGCAAATCCTAGCAATACACCCTTGCGAAATCTCTACTTATTATTGATTCAACATTTTATGAAATTACATAAGTGTGCTGGTTTCACTTCTTATGTAATGAACTTCAGTCATGAATTTGTTGTTTTCAATAAAATTTGACCAGTAAAGAAGATTGTCTTAGAAACAACTTTGAATAGGTTGCTAGCTAGCACTCTTCTACACTATAATTGCTTTTGTTCGTTATTCATTATTCACCTCTTATAAGATGCAAAATTCAAGGCTTAAGGCATGAGGTATAATTTTGTTGGTTTCACTTATTTAATGCATTTCACACATGAGGTACATTTTTAACACCTCTCTACAGATAATAGCTTATGCTTATTATATAGTATTCGCCTGTTATAAGACGCAAAATTCAAGCCCCAAGACACGGTGTGTGGTAAATGAGATTGTGTCTAGCGAAAGGGGCTAGTCTCCAATAACCTCATGAATTAAGATTCAAATATTTATTGAAAGTGGTGCTCAAACTTAATGTTTGACTGTGTCTTGGAAAATATTACATCTGAAGGAGGATACATGTGGTGTGGGAAACCATTAAACCAAAAACAAAGTAACATGACTACTCAGTGAGTTGTGGGGTAGTTATCTAATGCTTATTTTTCTGTTTTCAGGGCATTTACTACTATTTCTATCAAGTTTTCAAGAACAAGGCAGTGGCGATTGCAGCTGCACGGAAAGTGAAAGGGCGTGGAGATGGTACTGTTGGGATGTTTGGTTGGCTTGTTGTGGCTGCAATTGCTGGGTGACTATTCCATCATACAAATTTTATTTGAATGTTGCATTTCAGGATAAACATGTTTGTGTTGTGTTGGTGATACTAAACCCAACTTCTCTCTCTTTGCTTGATATTCTTGTTGGAATTCTCTTATTTTTCAGGTCCTTGAATGTGTTGCTGACAAATCCAATATGGGTTTTAGTGACTCGGATGCAGGTGCTTTCAGATGCTTTTATTTTCTTCCTGGACTGTTTTATATGATTATAGGTTGTCAAACAAAATTCTGGTTGCTTTTCATTAGATCTTTTTCTTTTCTATTTTATAAATACGGTCACTTACAGTGAGACATTATGTATGTTAAGTTAATTTTAGTTTATAGATATCTTAATTTTATTTTTTCTTCTTATTTTCTCTTCTAAAAATTTTATGAACAAGTTTCTCTGAACATACCCTTAACCTTTAACTGAGTCAAATGATGTCGTGTAATCTATGTATCTTGTGTCTAAAAGTTGTGTTACGTCTAACAAAAAGTTCAATAATTTTCACATGAAAGTGCCGGGATGTGGCTTAAAGCCAAAGAGTTAGAATCCACAGACTTTGAATGCTTAAAGCTGGAAACTATTTGATTGCCCTGTTGCTACACTCAAACCATGCATCCATGATTTTGGTCTAGTGTCAATGATGTGTGACATTTTATATTTTGATTCTAGACTCATACTCAAGCAGAAAGGAAAATTATGGAGGAAAAGAAAGAAGCTTTAAGGAAGGCTGCTTCTGAAAGCGCCATAGCAGATTCCACATTGCAAGATAAATTGGATGAACTGAATTCTATAAAACCTCGACCATTTGGAACTATACATGCAGTAGGTCTCTTATTTCATTTTCCTTCGCTGACTACTGTTTATTCTTTACATTGGTCAGGGATTGAGTGTGATTTTTCTTCTTGTTCTTGTTCTTGTTATTTTTACAGCTCTTAATGACTGGATAACTGTTCAAACCATAAATTTGAATTATAACAACACCAATCGAGTTTTATTTTTCCAAATCTTTAGAAATTTTAGTTTTTTTATATCAGGAAAAATTATCTGTCGTTTGACATTCTCCATGCTCCACTTTGTCAGAAACAAAAAGAGGTTGGGTCTTCCTGCAATTACTATCACGATCTTCTTGTTGAAGTGTTTATATGTTATATTGTTAAAAACAAAAGGCATGGATTATTCAAAGGGTTGTCCTGGTTGGCAATATAAAGAATACAACTCTACCTAAGATTTGCATATTCCCAGCTAAATTATCACTTTCGCTTCTGTTCATTCTGATATGAATCGTTGTTTTGGTTAAAAGGCTAAAGAAGTCTACAATGAAGCGGGTACAGTAGGATTTTGGAAGGGTGTCT